TTACGTATTAGCGGCCTAGATTCGCTCATACCGGTATATACTTTTCATGGGCATGTTAAGCTAATGCCCATTCTATAACTGTTATTCAAAAACTCAATAAGTCAATGAGGAAAACACACAAAGAAAAATCATAAGCGTGTCGTATCTTTATATGCGATAGAGATTTCCTTTGATTTAACCTCGTTCCCAGGGCCTGTTTTGAAAATGCGGCGAAAGGAAAAAGCCCTGACATTGGCTGGTCTTCTATGTATTCTGATTGGTCAATGAGAAGTAGCTTATTATGCAATCTTGGATTAATTTATTGAAACTTTGGCCGTTTGGCAGCCTAGCTTCGATCTGAAGCAAGCGCGGGAAAAAACGTGAATGTAGGACAAGACTGGGACCTAGGTGTGACGTCACCGCTAAAGGTGCTTCAGAACGCCTAGCAGATTTCAGTATTTTTAATATGGCGTAAAATTTATATATACAAATAACCTTGTAAATACGACAATGTTCGTTGATCATGTTCGATGTCTACATAACCAAATTCAAACTGTATTAAAAATGTGCTCAATTAAAAAAAAATATATACAAATTTATGATACTGAGTCTGAGCAATGGTCGTATAATCGTTGATGTTATTTATATACTCGCAAGTTGTGATCACCACTAGACCATACTGGTATACACAACTACGCTTTCTACTTGACAAGTTTAAGTAGCCGAGGGGATTGGAAATATTTGCCTGACATGACTGTGTTGTCGAAACATTTTTAGTCGTAGACGCGGCATAATTTTCAAGCTTCTAGATAGCATTTAATATGGCTTTTTATTATACGGCAAGCATTTATTTTGATGAATCGCGCAATTTGATTGGCTGCTGACGAGGCAGGATTTTCCCGTATTGCCCACGGGCAATACGCAATTTTTTTGCCCCGCGACAAGAGCGAGTTTCAAACGGCAAAAAGTGTCTAAAAGTCTTTCAAAACTATTCAAAACGAAGAAAAATAAACCTAAACTAAAGAAATGGAGCACCTTCTTTGGATAAAGAACTTTCTCAATATGTTTTTGTTAGCGAAAGTCGAAATTACAAGGTAAATTTTACAATGTTTATAACTATTAAAGAAGTCAGGAATAGCTGTGTTTTGACTTTGTGAAGAGCTGCAAATCTTATTTGCAGATAGCCGAGGAATTTGACACCATCCTAAATAAAAAATACAACTAAAGCAGCCACAGATTTATATTTTTTCCCTGAAAATTTCTGGGGTTTTTCGATAAAAAGAGATATATTTATGAGATGAAGCGAACTAAAACCGAACTTGTCCATACTGTTTATTAATTTTATTGTTTTCATATTTGGTTGTCTTTGTCTTTGATTAAATGACGAAATACCTCGTATTTTTCTTGAAATACTATCCAACTGTGTTAGTATTCTATATAAAAATTGCTGTAGAGTAGTTTTACTAACCAAGCTTGAGAACATTTTTTACAATTGTTCTTTTTTGCAAATGTTTCGGACTTTGTACTTTGCCCTCGCGTGACCTTTTTTACCCATTTTTTACAAACGTACAATGCCATATAATAAAAAACTTACTGACCTCAACCGTTCGGGCAGTACGGGAAAATATCCAACCTCGGTCTTGCTGTATTGACCTCGCTATCGCTCGGTCAATACAGCAAGACCTCGGTTGGATATTTTCCCGTACTGCCCTCACTCTCGGTCAGTAAGTTATTAATATTTTAGTAAACACGAGTCTTATTTAGCTCGTTATTCCATTCTGACCGTATGGTAGCGAAACGTAGCCTATTTCATTGTTCCGACAGCATTAGAGCAAAACTAATGACTTAATTATATACGCAAAGGAAATTTCCATAACACTTTCCATTTACAAATGTGGTATGCTTGGTAACCAGGCCAGGGACCAATTTTTTGAAATCAGGGACCATTTTACCGAAATCTGCTAGGCTCTCTCGCTGAAGCGTTCCGCGCAGCACACCCAGGCATAACATTTTAAGACTTGTTTAAATATATCAAAGCAGCGAATAGATATAGAGAGCCTGGAACTATGCTGGCCGTTTGGAATAAATTTTAACCTTTCACTCCATTAATCATTCCATTGTCCGTCTAAGAAATATTTTCTGCACAATCTGTGACAAAATGATTAAATTCGATAAGATTTGTACGCGATTTGTCGAACGTTAGTAATATTGTTTATTAATTAATTAAACTGTGAGAGAACATGAATTGTGTACTACAGTACTAGTACACATCTCGACAGAGTAAGTTTAGATTTTAGGGCAAAAATACGTACCTTCATCGGCTTCCTATAGCGTGATGTTTAATGTCAGTTTCAGGCGAATTGTGTTCAAATATGTCACTTTGTGGTGTAGAAATACTTTCTTATACAAGTTTGGGACTGGGTTTAAGAACATGCCCTTTAGTTTTTTATATAATCAGTATAGTAACATTAGAAAAGCGACGATATTTTGTATACAACACTGTTTACAACTTTTGAATAATGATATATGGTTTGATTCTCTTTCAGAGACTAAAATTCATTCAGAAAATGAGTGTGACTTCATTTTCACATAAATTGTGTTAAAAAAGTGATTTGCTGGGAATGATGACCGGTATTCCAGCGTTCTTTAAATCTACATCGATTCGGGATTTTGCACTTAATATGCATAAATTATCATTATTGAACACCCACCATGGAGATTTTGATTTTGATGCCGAGCCGATGCCAGGGCCATTTTCGCTGACCTCCCCCACGTGGAAGCAAAATGCCCTGGGTACGAGGTTGCCCCTAAAGATACTCAGCTTCGCCTCGTACACTGCTGCTCATCTTTTAAATAGGTGGCAGATAAAGATTCTGTTCTGTTCTGCTCTGTTCTGTTCTGTTCAGTTCTGTTCTGTTCTGTTCTGTTCCGAACTTTAACGTACCTCTAGGGAGGTCAGTTTAGAAACTGATAATACTTTCAAAATATAGGTTAGGTTTACTGCAGGACATGTGCGGCATACCACTCACAGACCAACAGAATTATCTAATATTAATTAAGTTAATTTTTGTCCGTTTTTCTCAGTCTTCCCAGGCAACCTGTGGTTCAGCAGGTATCCCAGGTATCCCTGGCGTTCCAGGAAATCCCGGAAGAGATGGTATGCTTGGGTCACGTGGTCCTGCGGGAGCGAAAGGAGAGCCTGGAGAGAGAGGGAATGATTACGTCGATCTGGTGAAGTCAAGTTGGAAACAATGTGTTTGGAAGAGAAACGATGGCAAAGACAGTGGCTTGTTACAGGTTGAAGCAATTAAGGATATCAGTGTTCATAATGCCGGACAAGTTTGGGAGCAATGTTGGTTCAACTCCCCAATACCAACCTAATAATCTTAGCTTTATCCCAATTCCATTCTATCTCATTCCAATTCTTACATTGCCGAATAATAGTCCTAACATAATTACAATTTTCCAGTTGCTAACTTAATCCTAACATTTTATATACATTGCAATATAGCATTTGTAAGTTCGCTGATTGGCTAAGAACTGTGTTAATATAACTCAATTTCAACACGGAAAATTTCTTTCTTTATATTTCTTTGTGCTATGTTATAAAGCAAATATAGAACTTTTCCGGCATATTGATATGCAACTATATCGACACTAATGGAAATTGGGAAAACTCGAAATTGTGTGAAAACACTCCGCCATCCGGGCATCGTGTTTCCGCATAACTTCTACAGTAGTTTTCCCAATTCCCACTCGTGTTGATGTATATTTAATGAACGAGTGCGAGTGTTTTACCAGGGTTTCCAAACACGCAAAAAGAATGGAATTCACGAGGCTGGTTACCAAGCAAGTTTTATTGTTCTCGAGAATTTGTAAAACACGAAAGACAATGCAAACACAAGGCCGTAATGGCCGAATGGTTTTTATTGTCTTGAGTGTTTTTCAAATTCAAGAGAACAATGAATATCACTTGGTGAACAGCCTCGTGAATTCCATTGTTCGCAAGTGTTTGGACCTTCTGTTTACCTCCGTTGTACCGAGATGGCGGATAAGGCAGTAACCGAGAATGAGTGTGTTGAGTTGCTAAATCGATATTTAACATTTGATGGTGATGAATTTCGATGGACAGGCACTCATAATCAATTAAAAAGATATTTTGATGAAGATCTGAAGCTTTCTGGCAATTGGACTTCCCCAAGTGGCGGAGTGTGGCTATTTTCAACCGACGAATTTCAAGTCAAATGGCAGAAGTCCATGAAGCTGGTCATCGTTCGAGATAACTCAGGTAAGTTTATGTTAAATTGTCTTATGAAGTCAAGAATGGTGAATAATTCTAGATCAAACCAGCCTATTAGCCCTGTCGTCGTTTTAAACGACGTTTATGCCGACGTCACCTCTGCTACTGGCGATAATAATGTCAATGAAGTCAACAATTACTCAAATGCGTTTGAAATGTCTGTTAATAACAAACTGGAGAATATTCTCAAAGTTCTGTCTGAGTTTAAATATATTGATGCTAATCTGCAAGAAGAAAACACGACTATGAAGAGAAGCTTTGAAGATTTAACACATAGACATGAAAATCTAATGTCTGTCTCTTCGGATTTAAACCAAAGAGTTAAAGACCTTGAAACAAACCTGTTAACAGCTATTAAACTCATCTATTGTGAGAGAAGCAATAGTGAGAATTGTGTTACGGCAGGACCGCCAGAAAATCTTTCCAGTAAGTCTACTGCTGACGCCTCCGCTTCCACATGCATATGCGATGCTCAAATCCAAGTAATAGATTTGGAGAAAAGTGGGGAAAGTGAAAAGGTTAAGCCTAAGCTGAATGAGGGTAACCCCAATGCTAAACGCGGTAGAAATATCAAAGGTCGGAAAAATCCTTCGACTAATGTTAATCAGCAAAGTGAGAATTCCCATGGTAATTGTCCTGACAATCAGGGGCGCAATTAGGGGGTGTGGGGGGGTGTGACACCCCCCATGTTTTGTGAAATATATCTAAAAAGTCGGTCCCGAAACTTGTATGGGACGAAAAAAAGTCGGTCCGGCTAAAATCTGAAAGACATCATTTGTGTCGAAAAAAGAAATAGGTGGACATTTTGGAAATGGAATCTAACAAAATTAGGCGACTTTTTGTGGTTGTAACTTTTCTTCCAACCTCGTCCTAAAATATGTGAAATAGTGTTCTAATGAACCTAGAAATTCAAAATTTTTCTCGCGCCTTCGGCGCTCGCACTCGAAATCCATAAAAAATTTTGGCCCCCCGAAAGTTTAGAGCAGAAGTTCTGAAAAACTAAACGTTTATTTAAACTCTTGGAATTCTATCCCTGTCTATGAGTCCATCCGCAATTTTGGAGGAGTCTACGTTCTAATAAATCGAAGAGAGGTTACCGAGGTATGTGGCAGTGTATAGCATTTATACACATTTAGGTAACCGATTACATCCGCATCGAGTGAACACGCAGCTTTTTGAGTTTGAAGCTTAAATTGATTAAGACTGCCATTCGTTCAGTGATGAAAGAAAAAAGTCTAAGGGATCTAATCACTCTTGGATATGAAAATGATCTCACGGATACAATATAATGGACCCAGACACTGTTGTTGATCGTTGGGCCGAGCTGCCAAAACAGAGCGCCTTATTTGTGTGAAGTAATTCCGATTGTCATTTTTCGATCAAATAAGGGAAGCCTCACATATCGATTTTTTCCACGAGAAACGTCATATGTTCGTTTGGGGGTGGTGGGGGGGGGTGGCAGCTGTGACGTTTCTCTGTAAACATCATGGAAAAATTCGATAGTTTTTATCTTTGCAGAATATAAAAAAGAAAACAATTTGATACACACAGCAGTCTATATATTCGTAATACCATACCTGTATACCTATACATTTATATTATTACGCCTTCCTTGCATTGAAAACACTCAAATTTCAAGACAAACGCGCTAAAATTATCAATATTTCATGCAAAAAAAGTTGTTTTGAGAAACGTTGGAAATTTTGAAGTTCACTGATATATATTAATAAGAAAAGAGTATGTCAGCAGAAGATGACATATTCCTCGCGGAAGCATCGCCAATAGCCGACCGAAAAAATAGTAGAAAATTACCTTATGTGTACTATAAGAACAAAATATCGATAACTATGTGTGACGTTTCTAAGGGGGGGGGGGTCTCCAGAGAAACGAACATATGACGTTTCTCATGGACAAAATCGATATGTGAGGCTTCCCTAAGCTGTGCAGGTGAACTATTTAAAAACTGATTTGACTGCCTGAAATCTATTGCTAATTGCTATAACTTTTTAAGCAATTTGAGTTGTCAGATATTTAATACACTTAGTTGAATATCATGTGGGCACGCACTATACATAGATTATTTTGAACCATTATTGTCTATATTTGAGCTCTTGACTTTAATAATGTACTATTCTTTAATAATATACTGTGGGCTTGTGGCTAATATACTGGCTATAAATTCCATTTAGAACAACAGGTTAATTTCTAACGGTCTACATTTTGACACCCCTGTATGCTATTTTTTTACATAGTTACTCGACTTTGTGCAATAACCACAGGGCCGTCGCATGTCATGCAGATCTTTATTATTTAATCTGTGACAAACTGCAAAAAATGAAGATATTACAATGGATAATAAAGTACATGTTATTTTACAATCCATGGTATTACCCACACTTTCCTGCAACTTATTCAACATATAATAGTTAACAAGACGCTCTGTTGAGCGTTTAGTCGCTGGGGCTATTAAAATAAGGTCTTCTGCGCAGGGCTTCTGTGCTTATTGCTCTCTCTTCTGAGAGCAGTGTAAAAGCGCAGAAGCCCTGGGTACGAGGTTGATATCATTTATTAGATTTATCTGGCTTAGGCCAACTTCGAGGACACTGGGAACCAGGCTTAAACAAATTTATTGCAACTGCACATTTTGACCCTTCAACTGATTTTCTCAAAAAATTTAATGCCCCCCCCCCCTTCTAGTAAATTATTTATACTCATGGGGTCATGGCCCCACCTTTTGCCTCCCCCTCCCTCTCCATAAATAAGGACTGGTCCCTAACTGCAGGAAAAATATGTGCACTTCACAGAACATTTATAACAATTCAAAATTTATTACTTTTGCCTCAGGCTGGGTAACCACAACAGAAGTTGCCAAATAGGCCCTTTGAAGGTAGCTTGCGTGTCAGGCTCGATGCTTGAAATAGAGCCTGTTATACCCTGTGAGCAAAGTCCTCTCGTATTTCTTCTCGGCACGGCACGGAGAAGCGAGAGAGACTCTGCAGAACTTGTGTATAAATTCATTTGAGCATGCGCGAAGGTTGCTAAGCAACTGCCTATTTCCCAGAAGAAGATTTAATAAGTAGTTTCCGGTTCGGATCAAAACCGGTTATAAAACTGGTATCAAACCTGAAATTACTCATAATTATCCAAGTTTTTGGATTGTCGGCTCTACAAAGAGTATACACAAGTTCTGCATAGTCTCTCACATGCTGAGAAGAAATATGAGAGGACTTTGCTCGTAGGGTAAGCCTGTTACTGTAGTCAATAAAAAGTGGACAGTGATTGGGATGCAAAAAATAACAACCAATCAAAATAGCGATTGTTAATTACGTATCAGTCAATTCCAGCAGTGCCCATCCCCCCTGGGAAGAAAATGGCTATGTCCACAAGCCATTTGCAATCAAATTAAATAAGCAGTTTTCCAGCAAATCTACCAAATCCCCCATGATGGAAAATGTCAAAATCCTCACCCCAGGGCTAAAAAATATCGGCAATAGTCCCACCCCCGTGATTAGAACAAGCTGCAAAGGCCCAGGGGTGGGAACTGCTGGAATTAATTGATACATTAGATTATCAAAGCTAATTTAAAATACAACAATAACGGCCAAATTTTCCACCAATATCTCAAAACTAAATATTCCAATTTTCATCGAATGGCCAGGAATTACATATTAAATAATAATAATAATAACTGTTATTGACTACAGCAAAGGCAGTCATTAACATGGCCAAAAGTGGTTAAAGTACAATTACAAGTACGGAATATCATTACGTAAACAACAATTTGGCATTACCTTAAATTAAAAACAAAGGTATTTATTTCTGACTAATGGAATTTTGCGTATGAATCATGTGCATCAATTCTTTTTACTGACCTCAGTAGCAGGCTTTATTTCAAGCATAGAGCCTGACACGCTAGTTACTTTTAATAACCCACTGAGTTGCAACCCCCCCCCCCTACTTAATTTCAATACATTGTTTTCGCCATTGTGTTTATACAACCTTGCAAATTTACTAGTGGGAATTTCCATTGTGTTTTCAGCCCTTACACTTTGTGTTTCATTATGGCATCTTGACCATGAAAGAGTCTATTACTGTGGCTCCAACATTGTCCCGTTCGGCGTTACATTCGACAATACATTGATCATAAAATGACTGAAATATCACAGTTTAAAAGCCTGACACCTAGCGGCAAAGTTTAAATTTCACACAAGTAGTGATGAATGGTGATCACTGTGGTTGTATTTCGGTCTTGTTAGGCTACACCATGTTCTTTTGACCACCCATCCGTAACAGGATTATCTGCATCAACAGCCGTAAAAAAAGCACCCAAATAAACAGCAGTTTGCAAATATTATTGTTGCGATTTACAAAGGTTGCGGCCCGTTCCAACTTTGTAAAATTGAAAATTGTGAACTTTTGTCCTCTATTTCAAGCTTGTAGCCCTCCAAGTTTACTCACATAAAATGACTTTCGCTTTATAAAGTCTGTTTCATCGGAAAACGTTTAAGGTTCATCGGAAAAATAAAAAAAATATGTACAAAATCGATGATACCATTCGCTCGTAGTAAGCGGCCATCTTGAATTCAGCGACGAATAGTAATGACGTAATTTTTATTTTTTATTAATGACGTAATTGTCATTTTGTGGCTAACCATCCAAGATCCGACACAAATGCGTGCCGAAACCTAGAGTCGCTGTGGGCTCTGCCCAGCGACTAATTAAATATGCTTTCGGCCATTTAGTACTACTATAAATTGTAAATTTCGACATGCTAAAACGCTTTTTTCTGACTATCAGAATTCTGTTAAATCTTCCCCAAAGTCCAGGAAATGGCATTGCAGAGACTCTAAATTTAAAAATTTTCTCGGGCCTCGGCCCTCGCGTTCAGCCTCCCCCCCCCCCCAAATTGAATAGAGTTTCCTACAGCCCTGTACCATACGTCCATGCAACTCTTAAATTTTATATTAATTGTATTTGTAACAAGACTGTGACATTAATTAAACCGAACTTTCACCGGTTCACCGTTCACGAGTACTGTGCACACCTTAAAATAGTTGGCTTTTCTTATCAAACACAAATACTACAAAAGTCGGTCCCGGAAAATACGACACCCCCCCAAATTTTTTTTGAATGTGCGCCCCTGGCTTTAAAGTGCTTAAAACATGAGTACAATAGATTGATTTTCATGATAGGCCGTTTGCTGCGTCCTGATATCGTTCACTTTCATTAAGCATGTCTTGAAACTGAAATATTTTTACGGGAACTAACACTTTCAAGAACGCTGAGTTCGAATCCGAAAACTTCCCGCGCTGTAAATCCGCAGTTTTCTCACAAAATGCTATTTTATCTTCGCTAATTTCACAACAAATGTTTTCACTGTTCAACGACACGGATCGATGACGCCGCCACACGATTATATCACTCAAAACGACCAATTTCTATTAAGTACCAGTCTTCCCTTTAACAAAAGACCGGTTTTGCCCGAATTATTTTTAGTTATGTAATCTTATGCGTGTTGCACGTAAACAACATATCTTGTCTACAACTTTGAGAAGGTACAGATAACGCCTTCTAAAATCCTCAGTTCTAGCGATATCTCTGTAAAATCACAAGGACGTTAATGCTAAGTCTTTCGGCTATATCACTGGCCTGAAAAATACTAATTTAACGCGATCAAGGTATTTAAAACAAAAGTCAGGTAATGCGAAGCCAACGTAACGGCAAAGACAACGCTAAAGTGAAATATTGTCGATTGGTTGCTAGTAGAAGACTTACGACAGGATGAATCTTAAATCACCTTAAACTAGGGGAATAAATGTTCATATCAAAGACAAAGACCATTGCCAAGGTATAAAATCTGCTCTGTAAACTTACGACGAAGTGGAGAAATGTGTGCATAAGCTGTTTATTTGGTGATTTCAACGTATATGGCAGCCCTCTTTCCAACAATATTCGCTTATCGCACAGAATAACACCAACTGATATAATAGCTCAAATGCAATGATAAGTTACCTCTTGTATTACATGTCAGAAACTGTGTTGGAAATGGAGATGCTGGCCCATTCCATAAGATTACCGTTTTACATCGTTGTATAAAACATTTCGATCGCATGTAAGGAATTATTTCTCATCCCAGAGATATAGCCCAACGACTTAACATTGACGTCCTTGTGATTTTATAGAGATACAGCCAGAACTGAGGATTTTACAAAGCGATATCGGTACCTTCCCAAAGTTGTAGACAAGATATGTTGTTTACGTCCAACACGCTTAAAATTACATAACTCGAAATAATTCGAGCAAAAACGGTTTTTTGTTCAATGTAGAGACTGGTTCATAGGAATTAGTCATTTTGAGTTATGCAATCGTGTGTCTTCATCTATCCGTGTCGTTGAACAATGAAAAAATTTAATTGTTTTTGTTTGTGGAAACACCACGTAAATTTATTACTGCAAAAAATTTATTACTTTTGGTGTTTCCACAAACAAAAACAATTATATTTTATCGCCATGCAAACATTCAAAGAACTTAATGAAAAAATTTGTTGTGAAATTAGCGAAGATAAAATAGCAGTTTGTGAGAAAACTGCGGGTCTACGGTGCGGGAATTTTTCGGATTTGAACTCAGCGTGTTCGAAAGTGTTAGTTCCCATAAAAATATTTCAGTTCCAAGACATGCTTAATGAAAATCATTTTCTAGGCACTTTTCGATGTCACAGCAGACGGCCTATGAGCATTGGTTTTTGTTGTCTGTAGAATACGACTGAGATGACTGCCAAACAGTAAACATTAAACCTAAAATAGTATTCGGCTACGCAGTTATGTTCAGCCACAGGTAACCTGAGAATCAGGCTCTATTTTACAAATAATAGCCTGACACAAACCTTAATCCGATCGCTTTCCACCCAAAGCAAAGTTTATATTTAGTATCCAATCAAAATGTCGGGAGAAATTTAATTTCATACAACGACAATCTAATTATAGTTGTGATCACTATAAATATATCAACAACAATAGTATAATCTAATTAGCACCAACCAATCAAATGACAGTTTAAAAAATCTTTTGTCTCATAGACCAATCAGATTTACAACCGAAGTGCGGTTGTAGGATTTTACTACATCCCGGGCGTTCTTTGTCAGTGCCCGCGATCACAATTAGTATTATCAGCGGTATATGATGATAACATCGAGTGTTTCCTGAAATCACAATGTTTGAAAGAAAACATCTTAAAAGCCAAATATAAATTATATAATACTCGATGTGAATTTATAACTTGATTAAACTGTAACAGTTTGTCAGCATGTTAATCTATATTTCAAGATATCAGTTTGCTTCTAGTCAGTTTATTTGATCCAGACATATTGCCTTTTAATTTTTTGACAAAACTGTTTATGTTTTAGCACTAATTTCACAGATCTTATATGAGCTAGTAACATTTATAGCAGCTCAAATAAAAAATAACCAAGTGACTGGACAGACGGGAGTTATTTCGTATTTTGTAGCAATATAAAAACTTTTGTTTGCGGTAATCTTCACCAAGTTTGTCGTTAGCTCAAGCGGTAAAGGCGCTGCGTACCGAAAGTGAAACGCGGTCGGGATCGATGCCGAATATTTATTATCTGATTTAGCTCTTTTTCTCAATTTTTTGTAATTTTTTTCTTCCTTCCTTTTTTAACTCTTAAAAGTTAGGCCGGTTAGTGTTTGGGATCGGTATAAAATCTAAAGTGCTTTAAAAAGTTTTAATCTTTTTTATCTGGTTGAAAATGTTTGAATATTGAGTTGCGAACTCAACCGCTGGTAATTCTAATTGTGATCGCGGGCACTGACAAAGAACGCCCGGGATGTAGTAAAATCCGCGGTTGTACGCCATGAGCTTTTGTTAAGGTTTGTATCAGGCCTATTTATTTATTTATTTATAGGCCTGATCGCAGGTTAAGCCGCAGCGACCCAATTAATCTTGCAAGGGTCAGTACAGTAATGTATATTATAGCAAAAATATGTCATAAAATATGTATTTTAAAATGATGGAGGCAAACTACTTCCGTCGGCGCAAGCACTTCGAATCGAAAATTCTCCCCCTCGAATCGCTTTATTCTCCAACAAAATTCGCCAGCATGTAGGACAGACGCCATTCTTCGAAAATACTGAGATGATTCGGCGACTGGGATGTGAAGATTTGGACCATATTTAATTTTAAGAATGGAAATCAAAATCCATTTCATATTGAACTTACAAAGACCCACGATTACTACTGCGAATGCCTGGGTAACCGAGCCTCCTTGGGATTCACAAGGGGTTGCATTAATTCTAAATATTATACGATCGTTATATTAAAAGTTAATTTGAAATATGATATATAGACATCATAAATTGTTTTAAATACATTTCGTATTATAACATACGTGCTATATACGTCCGACAATATGTTGCTTCTCATTGTTCTTCCCGCCTTTTTGTATTTGCATGCTGTGGGCAGGCGGCGTCCTTTCCTCCCCTGCAAACCCCAATGGTAAAAGTTCAACATAAAATGGATTTTGATTTCCATTGTTAAAATATGGTCCAAAACTTATACACCTTGCCGAAGTCTCTCCATATTTTCGAAGAACGGCGTCTTTTCCACATGCTGGCGATTTTTCTTGCAGAATAAAGCGATTTGAGGGGGAGAATTTTCGATTCGAAGTGCTTGTGCCGACGGATCGACGATCGGAAGTCGTTTGCCTTTGTCATGTATTATGCATACTAGTAGCGGCCGCAACTATCGAGTGCAAAGTTTCGGAAAAGATTAATTCAACAAAAGAGGAATAAAAGGAGAACACATACTATGATATAGGAAAGTAAATTTGATTTAAAATATATATTTTATGACATATTTTTACTGTAATATACGTTACTATACTGACCCTTGCAAGATTAAAAACGCCATTGCAGGCATGATAAATGTCACACATTTATTTGTCGGTTGGTCTTCATGAACCATGTCTCAACCAACGTAGGTCTAAGTCCACACTATCTGTAATATCTCTTTTGCTGTTTAAAACAAAATTAAGTTTTGAAATCGATGATCACAGTGCTGCAGAAAACTCTTTTTTATTGGGGTTTGAAGACGAGGGCCGGAAGCCCGAGGAAATTTTTAAATTTAGAGTCTCTGAAATGCCATTTTCTGGACTTTGAGGAAGATTTGACAGAATTCTGATGGTCAGAAAACAGCGTTTTAGCCGTTTTAGCATGTCGTAATTTACAATTTGTTTACAATTTAATAGTACTAAATGGGCGAAGGCGTAATTAATTAACTATACTAGAAGTTACTATCGCAAGGGGGAAATGCTGCCGTATGGACAGAAGTTGTTACTCCACCTGATTGCAAATATTAAACCAGAATGAAGAAGATTCAAAATCACTAGGTCATAATGTGGTTTATTTTAGCATTTAATTTATTCACATTGTTAAAGTGCATATGACATGAAATTTCTTATTTTCTTAAATGAACGAACTCTTTAAGCTGTAGTGTAACTTATTTTTCAGTTTCTTGTTTTTGTGGTTTGTTCCCGAGATATTTGAATTTGTTTGATATGTAAATGAGTGTGAATATGTCCGCTAATTTATGACGTCATGTTGGTTGCAAGCTCTTCCAAATGGT